AAGCATTTTTTTAGCACAAAAACTACCCTTAGTAAGAAACATTTAAATGTAAAGTTGGAACTTGTCTTTTCCACCAAAGTCAGCAACTTAAAGGTCAAATAAATCAGTTTATTGTAAGTTAAAAACTAGAATCAGGCCATTTCTGACTCAGATACACTGTATCCTGCTGCTTAATGACAATAATACAGAAACAAGTCAATTTGTCTGACGATATGCTGACATGAGGAAACAATTTGCCCTCTGGATGTTTAAATGATTAGCTCACTTGTCATAAAAACATGGCCAATAATTTATCATACTTTTATTAACGCATGGTATCTTCTGGTGTTATTCCTTTTTAATGCATATGAAGAAGTATGTTGCTATGAGCAGCATTCTTATTGTTCCTAATCTAACTCACAGACTGACAAAGACAAACAGCTTGACGGACAGACTGACGTCAGGCAGGCAAGCAAGCAAACAGAAACAGCCATTCAGACAGACTGAAGAGCTCGACTGTACGCTGCAGACCACACATTGTGCTGCCTGCGTGTTAAAACAGTCATTCATGCTTTCGCATTCTGCTGCCCAGATTCAGAGATGAGTCGGCTTCGTAACCACAACTGTTAGCCCGTGTGAGATTGTGTGTGTGTGCAGCTTATGTATGTATGCAGGCGACTGTGACGCTAAATTAGCATATTTTCAAGAAATTTGAGATTACTGGACGTAAGCCGTTGAGCAGCACATTACTTGCCTTCAAATTGCATTTAATGTCTGTGATGGAGCGCTGAGATACCCTGAATATGGGAAGCTACTCAGCCTTCAGTTAAGCCAGGCCTCATAAATAACTTCGACTTCCTCCTTTGGACGCCTGCCAAGGGGATGATCACTAGAAACTACACAACCCCTTCTTGGCTTCTTCTTAAGGCAGCCTTTTGCAAAATACCCCTCTGACAATTGACCCCTTGAAGAGTTTTCTGACTGCTGCAGTCGTGTTCGCTGCGTTTGTTTACCTTGCCCAAATGTCAGCGTCATAATTAGGGATTATTTTGCGCCTCATTTGTCATAGAAAGAAAAACACATCAGTAAAAAGCAAATTGTGGTGAATAGGTTACGACCTCTAATGCCTCTAAGTGCTAGAGTTGTTAATATACAGATAAACGACAAATTTTTGTTGTATTTGGATTTATTGATAAGGTAAAGAGGCTTAAAATAAGCTAGTATTTGTGTCTGAAGAAAAAACTCAATTTATAGTGAAAAGACTATAAAAATGTTTTTTTTTTTGTCCATATATTTCAAGTTAACATTTATTTAAAATTATAGATGTGTTTTTAAAATGTGTCTAAATCCCTGTAACGTCCACAAACAAGTTAGATTTGACCATTTAACTGTATGAATTGCTTCACTCTGGGTCACATCAAAACAACATTTCTTTCTTCTTCTGTGCTTGTTCGGATGTTGAAAGCTTGTGGCTTGAAGATAGCTCCAAAAATTTAAATTCCTCCTCTGATGGCTCCCTGATGAAGATGATGTTTGTGAAGTCTAAACTCTAGTCTGTGAAACCATTTTCCTGGAGATAATTAACTGATTTTTAATTAGTTTATTAGTATTTTGAACATTACAATATTGTACATTGTAGAATTACCTTTAATAACTTTAATGTTTAGATTTGTTTTTGTCCGTTTATTTATACATAAGTATATTGAGAAAATATTTCCTGTTGATTTGACTTGTCTCCCCATTTTAATAAACATTCAATATTTTAAACAAATTATTGAGAAATGTACTTAAATTTACTTATTTATATTTGTGATAATAATCACTCAATAGTCTGGTGAGGAATTATTCCTAGACGGTTAATTTTGGATAAATTTTGATCTCGATTGACTTGAACATCAATATATTGTAATGTAGCTTATCAGGGCTGTATTCCTTAAGCTGTTAAAATAAATAGGTCAGTCTAGTGTGTCGTTGGAGCCACTTCTAGGATTCAGCATACAGAGGTGAGTGAGTGACGATTTATTAAGGATTAGACAAGTTTGTAGATCTTGTTCGAAAACAAACTGACGGCCTAGCTGGAGATTAATTTACTGAGTGACTTTTATTACTTAATTGCTTCATGCGACTCTGAAACAAGTAGGTATAATTCATAATTATTAAGATGCACCAAAAGCAGGACTAACTATCATATTTTGAAGTAAAAGCAGTATCTGACCTTTTGATATTTTTCAGTCACAACGAACACAAAGCTTCAGCAGAAGTTAGGAAAACACTTTCTGCCTGATTTCTCCCACAATTGAACCAGTATTTTTTGCTGTATACACAGGAACAAGCAAAGCTCATCCACCAATATCACACCCTGTAAACACACACACACAAACACACACACACACAAACACACACACACACATCGAAAAGTGCTGCCCCACATTCATCATACTGTTGAAACGGGGAAGCTACTCCCAAGAGGGGAAGGTTCTCTACCCCCCATGACAGAGAGAAGTCTTCCCATGCACCGGGTCGCCAAAGAGGGCCCCACACACGGATGACATCAGTGCTCAGCCTGAAGGAGTTTTGTGACAGCCATATGTAAATTGAATATGACAAATCGCTTCCCCGAATCACCTCTCGGCACCTCTGAGCCACCGCGAAGAAAGACGGAATGGGGAAAGAGGACAGGCCGGGATCCATAGGCGCTGCTGCTTTTGAAGTGTGAGAAGAGGAGCGATAGGGTAGCCAACCAGACGGACACACAAGTCAACTATTGATTTTTTTTTTTTCAAACTAAATAAACTAACAAATGACTTCAAAGATTAAAAGGGTATTACGTTTTGGCTAGTCACCTGCTGAAACGCGGTCAGGGGTCGCACTTCGTCTACGTTCTCAGCACCGGTGGCTGTAGGAAACAGCATGCCAGTCTCCAAAGAATGTGCCGCTTTGCTCTAACGGCGCGTCGAGGACAGGGTGGGGGGGCGGCGGACCAACAGAACGCTCTACGTTTTCATCGATGGCCATCCCGTTCTCACGGCTTTGGCTTTCCAACTGTTTCACCCAGACGATGAGACGGAGAGAGGGAGGCAGCGAGAAGGTAAATGGTTTCCACATGTGAAAGGCATCAAGAAGAGGCAGAGGTGTGTGCGACCACCCATACAACAGGGGAGTCCCAGGTGGATAAATGTGTGCATTCACATGGCTCTGTTGAAAAGACGCCACAGGAGTAAAATCTGTATTTATTAGCCCGTGTATGAGAAATACAGACTTTGTTTACAAGTGGGACATTTTTATGCTTCTCTGCACGGATTTAAGTGTTATTATTGTAACAGTTTGGCCTTTGTAATACATCCTGAAAAATAATATGTTCTTGTTTTTTTTTTTTTGTACATCTTTGTTGCATTTTTTTCTCAATTTGACACATAAATAAAAATTTTAAAAATCCAAAAAACAGACTTGACAATTGACATTAACTTTGACACAGACTGGTTGCATTACATACAGTGTCATCAATGGCCGATGCCCCGGCCTCTGCTCAAATCACCCCCTGACGGGCAGTGTAAACAAGTGGCGCTGTGTATATCCCCCATGTAATCTGGATTTAGCGCGGTGAGATCACGGCTGTTGGAGCAGAGAGCCCCCCTGGATGCTCAGCTGCATTGTGGGAGGTTCCCTCTCAATGCCACCTTTGTCCATTTGTGTGTGTCGCTCCGAGATAGTGTGGTGCCGTTGACAGGCCACAATAAGCCAAGAGTAAATTTCCCCCGTGGTGAGAAGGGATCTGGTTACTCCTAAAAAAAAAAAAAAAAAAAAAAAAAAGAAACACCCACACAAAATGAGGCTCAGGCTGAAAATCATTCTTGCTGTGTCTTTTTATGCCAAGTGTCCTCAAATGCCTGTCCTCTCAAACACTGCAACTGTTTTCGACCTCTTGACAGTCCATGCTAGTCGTATTTTTGACAGCATGAGTTTTGTGTTTTCAAATGATTTCCCTGCCTTTTTTTATGCTAATGTACATCAGACTGTACAAGCCTGATGTACATTAATAAGAATGTAACTGTTTTTAAGATCAAGCATGCTAACAGAAAATTAAATGTTTAACTAGCTAGAAAACTACCAGAACAAGCCAAAACCACATTTAGCTTTAGTTACTGATGAACTGCAGAAAAATGTGTGCCTTCTTGTTATCAGAAATTTCTAACATGTTAACATAAACATTTTTAATTTCAGAATTAAAAATAAAATCCTACTTTGTTTTGCTAAAGGTGATGCTAATCCATTAGCTATAGCAGTGTCAGATGTTTTTTCTGACTAGCTAGAAATGCGACGTAAATTTGTTGCATTTGGTGTGGTTTTATTCAAACAATGCTTTCAAATATATTATACAAATTGTGCTAAAAAGTAATCATTTTCAGATTTAATTGCTATGATCATTTAAATACTAAAATAAATTATTTATTTTCTCATCATGCTAGTTTCTTTTTCTACTGTTTTGTGTTTTGTATTTTCTTTTACTTCTACCTCAGATGTCTTTATGATGCACATCATACTCTATAATTTACAACATATTATTTTGTTGCATATAATTTTGTTATTTGTTTTGATTGATGTATGCACAAATTTTTATTTTATTTTCTTAATTTGAACATTTTAAATCACACCACTGTTCCTGGCATACTCAGATAAGTCTAATTTTAAATAAAACACGTTCAAATCTCATTCATAAAGGCTGAAGAAATACAGCAACAACAAAAAAAAAGATTTTTTTTTTCTCTACCTGTGGTGTTTGTATTCATGATTTAGATGGAGAACGGTTCAGCTTTTACAGTTATTTAGGAGAAAAGGTGAGGAAGGACACACATGGAGGGTTTCTTTCTTTGTCTGCCTTTACTTGTACAGCTTGGAACGAATTGCTCCAAAACGCTCAACATTGCACCTCCATCGTCTCAGGGTGGTGATCTAAGAAGCTCTTTTAAATGGCTTTGTCCTAGTGTGTGTGTGTGTGTGTGTGTGTGTGTGTGTGTGTGTGTGTGTGTGTGTCTTCCTTCCTTTTCATGCATGCTTGAGTATTTTATTGTATGTTTCTCTCTGCCTCTGCAGCTCCAACAGGAGCCACAGTTTTGTGTGGTCCCATAGTAGTCTGAGGATATTCCTGAATTTACGATTTAGATGTTTTCATTTTAATTTAAAGCATTAAGTATTTGTGTGTCAAGCCTAAGTTGCTTCAATATACAACAAAACATTTTTAAAAGCTTAAATGCATATTTTTTTAGAAATGTTTCTTTGCTGTTTGCAGACTGTATTTTTAAAAAAATCCAAAATTAAACGTCACAATGGGAGGTCCCCCATTTGTTTCTATGTCCAGGCTCCTTGATCTTGTTCTTGCTTCATATAATTTCCTTGTAAATCTTATTAAATTGTGCCCCCCGTCTCTTGCTGCTGTTTTCTGCTTGTTATATAACTGTGTTGTTCTCGGCTCAGGCTCTTCACGCCTCATTCTGTGGCTCTGTGCTACCTGCGTCAAACCCAACTCTTCCTCCCTATTAAACAGCCAAGATTTCCAGTGTGTATTCTCCCTTTTTATTGCTTTCATTTGCATATAAATTAAATCCATATTGTGCCTGCGAGGCAGACTATGCTAACTATGCAAACGATCCCTGGCTTTTCTTTGTTTTACAGATAAACCCTCGGCTTCCTCGGTGACAAGGTGGGAGGGAGGGCGGCGGAGGCAGAGAAATCCTCCCGCTGTTTCATAATTGTATGAATTTTAAATACACTGTCATAAGAGCCTCTTCCGCATTCACAGCGGGGGAACGGGACTATCATGATAATATTAGAGCTACAGGGTTAGCTGACCGTGAAGAGCGAGGCGCTCTCGCCACCTCTGTTCACACATGCAGGCCAGATGGCCACAGAGGCTGCATTCACATTCAGAATCACATTAGGTATATGTGTGTGTGTGTGTGTGTGTGTGTGTGTGTGTGTGTGTGTGTGTGTGTGTGTGTGTGTGTGTGTGTGGATGTGTATTTTCTAAACATAACCTCCTTTCCTTTAATTCCTAGAGTGCATTAAAATTACTTTAGATTGTCTTTCTCTTTGTGCAAAAATTGAGAATATTACTCATGAGGTGTTTTGTGATGCATCATCAATACAGGATGAATTAGGCGGTGTCCGAGTGAAATTAAGTCCAATGAATATTCAAATATGTTGCTGAACAGTGATATCAAATTAGGCCTAAGTCCTTCATGGATCCCTGGAGGTTTCCATGTCTTGCAGGCACGCCGAGGCTTATTAAAGGCTAAAACATAAGCATCAAATGTGGGCGCATCTAGAAACATCCACTGCTGCTTTCTGGAAACAAAGACTGAATGAAACCAAAACAATCACTCAGTCACCGGCAAATATGTTTATGTTAAGCTGTTATAATGCCTGTTGGTTTCTAAGCGCCTTGATGTGAATGGACGGCAAAAATAATAAACAGATTTTCAGATAAATTCTTAAAAATCACGGGATTGAACCTGCCTGCGAACCTTTTAGCCCATCCCTGAAATCAATTACAGCCACCCTCCACAGCTTACGCTTGTTAACCCTGGGCTCTGTGAGGAAGATCAGAACACAAATAATTAAAAAAAAAAAAGAGCCTGAAACACAGAGACCGTGAACTCCTCCGCTGCAGACCCTTCACTGCCTCGTTAGCGCTTAATTAAATAAAACTGAACCGAGATCAGTTGAATTAAAAGTATGCGACAAGCAGAAACGATAGGAATGTGCTGGCAGGGGTGATATTGATAAACTAAAAAATAGCTCAAAGTGGCATCTTTTATTTTTGGGTCATTTTTGGTATCTTTTGATCAGCAGTCTTAGCCTGCATGACATTTTTCTGTTCATTTTTAGGAAGAATATTGCAGAATAAGAAAGTAGTCTTTCCTGTTAAAACTGAAGAAGAAGCGAATTTAGATGATCACCCTAGTTTGGTGATTAAAAAACCCAAACGTTTGTCCAATTTATGTCAGACTGAGACTTATGGCACATTCCTCAACAGCATGGGGTCTGTTTTTCTCCCATTTTGGGTTGTTTTTGAATGAAGAAGTACAATTTTGACATAATCTCACTCTTTTCTCCAAACCCTGGACAATATTTTTATGGCTTTTTTATCTCAGACATCTCATTGAATCTATTTTTGGTCACAACAAAGACCTCTAAAACATTAACACCAAAAGAGCGTGGAACACCTACTTTTTCTCCCATAAAACAGAAAACTAGACCGGCTGATTATTTCAGAAACCGCTGATTCTGTACATTGCTCAGATTTATGGAGGATGGTCCAAAAAGAGAAAACATCCAGGTCTGTGAATGAAAATCACTTCTTTGATGACTGCTTGAGAGAATAGAAATGCAACAGTCATGGAAACGTTTTATAAAACCAAGGAATGTGGGATGCCAATCTCTGAATGGACAACTGGTCAAACCTTAAAGCAGATGAGCTACAGCTGCAGACGACCACACTAAGAACAGGAAACTGAGGCGGTGATTCAGAAAGCCATACCAAAATTGGACAATGAAAGGTTGTGGAAAATGACAGCTGCTTTGTTGTTTTCACGTGGTAGTCAGATTTTGGCGTAAACAACATGAAAACACGGATCCATCATAGTGTAGCTGACAAATTGGCAGCAATTGCATAATGCTATTATTACAATACAAATCAAATTCTCCAGATGTTTTTGATGCCTTGTGGAGTCTATGCCACAAAGAATTAAGCAAGTTTTAATGTAGATAATAAGGTAGCCATGTTGAAATGTAGATTTTATCTAAATTGGTAGCTCTTGCGTTTAAGTTTTTTTTATATATTTCATTAACGGTTGCCGAGTTTTCATTTGAGAAGCCCTAACTTTTCTTTTAATTACATCAGTAATTCTTAATGAGTCTTAACTACATCGACATCTATGCTTTCTCACAACCTTTTCTCCAGACGCTCCAAACATCCATGCAGCAGTTTGAAAAATAAAACCGTGACTTTGGAGCTCAGACATCATCTTTGTCCAAATTTGACCTGAACAAATATGTTTAAAATCAGGTTTGTTTACAACAAAAAACCTAAACTTTTAAACCATATTTAGATGTTCAGACGAAGTCTGCTTCTGTCTCATTTGGATATTTTCTTATTTGAGGGGTTACGTTTGGCTGCTACTAATACCCTCCAGAGTGCGACGCCCAGAAACACACACACACACACACACGCACGCACGCACGCACGCACGCACGCACGCACACACTCCATGTTCACAGCCAGCCTCTATAAACCTCTACCTGAGCGGTTTATGCAGGCCCAAACAAGTGAAAACCAGGAAAAAAAAGCAACACACAGATACATATTTCACTCCAACGATGACAAGAACAAGGCCTCTGTGGTGAACACCAGGCAGGTTAAAGCTCAGCAAGGAGGGGAAATGCAGCAGCAGCAGCAGCAATGGGAAAACTTGTAAATGACCAGAATAGTTTAATGGGTGAAATGGTATCCAGGCAGGCAGGGAAACGGGAACTGTACCTCAACAGTGTTCGTGCTTGTGTGTGTGTCAGTGTGTGTGTTTTGTTTCTCACCAAAACCTCTCTTAGGTATCAATATAATGAAAGCGTTTGTTGTTAAATAATAGCAGAGGTTAAAGTTTAGACTGTAGTTGGAGAAAATTAGAAAAAAAACAAACTTGGTTTATGTTTTTATGACATCAAATATAGTTATAAGTAAAGTAAAAATAACAAATGCTAAATTAGTCCATTATATCTTGTTCTTTTTTCTGTTTTATTTCAGACTACATGTGAACATAGTAAAAATCTTTGGCTTGGCTGAGTCCGGCGGACTGGTTTGTTGAAGGAAAATATGGTGCAGACATGAAGGACGAGGAGAGCACGACAACCTAGAAAGTCAAACATCCCTAAAAATTAAAAATAAAAATAAAAAAATTAAAATAATAAATGGTGGATTGAAAATGAGCCTGGAATCCAATATGCAGTAATGTATACAACATGATAACTGTGTGGCTATATAAATTTTAATAATGGTCGTTCATTTTTTTTTTGTATATAATTATGTCCATATACTGTTACCATAAACAGAAATCTGTGTTTTTAAATAGCGATCCCCCCCATTTCCAGTTCAGTTGTTTTTTCTTTATCTCCATGAGTCCAGAGTCAGCCAGCCCCTGAGTAGGGAAGTGTCCGGCGGGGGGCGGGGGCCGCTCACTCGCTCTCCTCCTTCTCCTCCTGCACGGTGGTCGTTGAGTGGTTGTACAGTCCCTGCGCCATGAGCTGCAGCGCTAGGCCGTTCTTGTAGCCGCTGGCCTTTTTAATCTTGGCCCTCTTGTTCTGGAACCAGATTTTGATCTGGGACTCGTTCAGGTTCAGTTCCTGGGCGAGGGACTGTCTCCTCTGCTCCGTTATGTACCGGTTGGCCTGGAACTCGGTTTTGAGTCTCTGCAGCTGCTCAGCCGTGAACGCCGTCCTGGGCCGCTTGTCCTCCTTGCTGTTCTTCTTCTTCTTCAGTTTCCGTGTCCTTGGGCCTGGCGTGGAAACAACAAGGGGAATAAAAATATTTATTCTACGGCTGGACACCACAGCCTTAATTATCCGCTGAATGTGCCTCTGTTTAAGGTATTCTAGTGAAAATGAGTTATTTTTTCTAGTAGTATGTTAGCTGATAAAGAGAGAAAGAAGTTACACTGTAAATAGTTCACTGTTAAAATAACTGGCAGTTGTAGCAGTATTTATTTTGATCCATGTTAATATTTACTGTTCTTTCTTGTGCTACTATTTGAATATCACTCACACACGACCCCACCCTCTTTTTATACCATAATCACATGCAAAAGTACAGCTGACACAAGGCCTAAAACTGTACAAAGTTATCAAAATATCTTTCTTTTTCGACATGTGTAGTTAAAATATTAATTTAGACTGGTTGTTTTAAAAATAGATGTTTTATTTATCATCTGATCTTACTTCTAAGTCAATAATACTCACAAAAACTTTCTAGGGGAGCCTCTGCTTACCATCCCTAGTAGTTTGATGCAACAGTGTAATTAATATAAAACTAATGTGTAGTAAAGTGTCAGTGTGGTTTGAGTCAGGCACTGTGTGGGCTCGTTTGACTTGTGTTTTTTAAATGAAGCAACGTGAAAACGATACGGTCATTTCCTTTCCACTCCACTAAGTGAAACAGCAACCACTAAAAATGCTCTCCACACCTTCTTCTTTGCTTTTGTCTCAGCTTCTGACCACCGTAGTTTCTACGATGTTTTGTGTCATTTTTGCAGACAAATCAAGAAATTATTCAATTTTTTTCTTTTATAAATTTTTAGAAAGGGACAAGGCCTAATAATCATACAGTTAAGCTACATATAACTCAACTAATTTGAATGCATAAAAAAAATAAAAACATGATGAGCAGGGCACCAAACTGGTTCTAGCCCAGAGGACAACTTCCTCCAAAGCCAGTATCGTCAATACCGCACTACTAAATACACTACCCACATCTGAATGTAAGTTATGTGTATTTACTTAATAAAATGTGGTATAAACTGCTGTGAATAGTGTTGTTTGTTGTGTTCCAGTTCTGTTGTGCAACATTGTGCATTTATTTGGAAAGGTCAATGTATCACAGAGATGTACGTCCTGAGTGGAGCGGTGTCCACGTCCAGACATTTGGAGAAGTTTAAAATTCCCACCATTTGCAATTTTCTAAATGTACAGATTTGCACAAGTATTTATTTATTTATTTATTTATTTATTTATTTATTTATTTATTTATTTATTTATTCTTGTACATTTTTATATCTGATGTACAGAGTTTGAAAATACTGAGCTGCATGTTTGACTCTCCGAATCCTGTAAAATCATATATATAGGTATAACAATTTATTTCACTGAATGAGAGATCCAAAAGTAAACAGTATGAATAAATAAAATAATATAATAGTGAATTTGAATAAAAAATGGAGGAGGAATTAATCAGTCTAGATAAAAATGGGTGAAAATTAATAAAAATAAGCTAAATCGAATGAGTTTTGGAAATTTTGTTTTAAAAATTCCAATTATGGCATCACAGATGAAAAGCAATTCATCTATACATATAATGTCTACCTACCTCCTGCACTGTCAACGCTTGATAAATAATTAAAAGCCCAGTCATCGTTTGTAGCTGGATTTGTATTGAATGAATGACATTCAGATACAGTATCTTAGGACGCTTTGCAGCTGAATCTGTTACAACTTGCCCCGCCTATGAGGCAGGTTGTAACATTTCACTGCTGTCGCTTTCAGCAGCGTTGTTACAATAAATAGCACGTTGCTGAATCATTCCTTGAATTTTAATTTGTACCAAACACGTTGGAGGTGTCTGAGTCATCAGTTACGTTTTCTTCATATATTTATTTTTTATATTTAAAAAAAAAACGAACAAAAAAATGTTTTTATTGCCACTTTCTGTCTCCTTCAGGAACATGAAAAAATATTAATTGTAAAGAATATCTGATTTCTTTCTTTCTTTTTATAATTTAGGAACTTAGATTTTTTTTATTTTCTAAATTCATAAACAGGAATTATGCAAACGCAAAAATGAGAATACTACTAATGTAATGTAAAAGCCACTAATTGCACAGGGACGAAAAACCAACAAAACACACAACAGAAATTGGTTTTAGATCGTAAAAACAATGTAAAAAATTTATGTGGAAATGTACGCAAACTGTAACTGCGCTTAGAAACGAGGAACCCGCCGCCCAGCTCAAAATGAAGAGAAATAAATCGGATTTGACTTGAGTTTCTCTGAAACGTCCACGTATAAGCAGTAGCAGTACTGACACTCAAACATGAATAGATGCGGCTAAACTGGGACTCTGGATAGCAATGTGCATTAAAATAGAGGCTCATATATGTGAGCCGCGCTGGTAAAGATGAATAAAGTCATTGTGTATCAGCAGACACACAATGATACACATAATCCTTCTGGTGTTTTTTTTTTTTTTTTTTTTTTATCGACATAAAATATTTTAAAACAATACTGATTACCTTTTTTACCCAACTATAATTATTGCAGTTTCTGAAGTATCCTGAAGATAATTTAGTAAAATTACATATAAGCTAAATCTGGTTAAAATACTCCTATTATCTTGTGGCAGAATAAAAGTTCGTGCCCCTTTAAGACTATAAGGCCATACATGAAAGGATACTAATTAAGGATTAATAAGAGGTGCGTACTAAACAAGGGAGAGAAATGAGCCAATGAGATTACGCGCACCTATACTTTAATTCGTGGTCATTCTGAACAGAACCTCCGCAAAAAAAAAAGAAAAGAAAAAAAGAGAGAAAACCTACAATGTAGTTTAACTCGTAAAAAATGCTTTTTTATATATACATAAAAGCAGGAAATACGTGTGAAAATATAAACAGGTAATGAGTTACATTACAGACGCACTTTATCTCTTACAACAGCGAGGAACCCGCCGGCCAGCCTCGAATGAAACGAAGTAAGTAGATTTTGACTTCAGTTTTCTCTCAAACGCCACTATGTCTAAAATACGACAGTGTCGAGAACTAGAATAGACGCAGCTAAATTAGCTTTCTGAGTAGCAATTTATATTAAAGTGACCGCTGATACGAGTCGTACTGTTAAAGATAATAAATACATCGTGTACAGATCAACACGGGCAGTAGAGGTTGTCTGCAAACAGAGCTTTAGGGCATGATTACAAAAATATGGGGGGAAAGAAGAAAAAAATAATTTAACAAGTACCGCGAGGGCTTCTTGATTTCCCAGTCACAATTAAAAGATTAAGAATTTTACTTGTAATTTTGCATTTAGTCCTTAATCTTGGTAAAATGCATTTTAAAAACAAACAAACAACAACAACAAAAAAAACTCTAGTGGTACATTATCTTGCGCCGGAGTAAAAGCTTGTGGCCCTTTAAGGCTATGAGGTCATGCATATGCTGATACTAATTACTAATTAATAACAGCTACAGTAACGAGTGAATAAAGGAGAGAAATGAGCCAATCAGATTAGAGCAAGCGCGGCTTTGTATCCTAGGACAAACACTCAAATAAACAAGAAGGTATGTTTTTTAAAAAAAACATAAAATGCGCATGTGGATGCTATAAATACGTGTTAAAATGTATAAAAAGACCTACATACAACAGTGACACACTTCGGCTTTAAGAGACACGCCGCTCAGATTCAGTTGCAGCGAAGTCAGTCGGTTTTGACTCCATTTTTCCTTCAAACGTCCTATATAAACACTGGCAGCAGACTCACGTAGGAAAAGATAGAAGTAAATTAGCCTGTATCTGAGGCATGGTCACACTGGGTGGCTGTCTGCATTGAAATATCAGCTGATATTTGAGAGCCGTGCTGTTAAACATGAGAAATGCATTATATAATACGAGGCACAAGCCTTATAACACACACGAATACCTATTTAAACCATAAAGGCGGGCCTCTGGTGTTATTTAGCCTGCACAATGGGGAAAGTAAGTTTGTATAGCAAGGCCCCCTCTTTTTATAACATCAGTACACCATGATAAAAAAACGATCCTTTAAAGCCTGAAACCTTATAATTTTTTTTAGAAATGCAACAACATACATAATATAACTTTTAGTTAAACTTTTGGTACGTTTTTGTTTTACCCGATTATGCGCATTCGGTGGCGATTTGATTAAGTCCACAACGGCTTGTATTTATGGTATTTTATTTTAAAAATGACAATAAAGATTGCCTCGAAACCCTCATAATATACACTAAAAAGTAAAATCACATTATTTTTTAGCCAACTTAAGTAATGCTTTTTTTTCTTCTGCAAGCTAAAACAAAGACGGTGTTATACTACCTCTTCTCAGTATAGTGTTCCCTGTTTTCATTCAATTAAACCAAAATCAGACTAAAATACTGCACTCAAATATGTCGTTGCAGGATTGTAGTACATTAAAAGGTATATATTATAAACACATTTGTTAAAAATCTGTTAAAAAACGGGAGGACCCATCGTAGAATAGCTCTCGTTATACTGTACTCATTAACATATATAGTCTAATACTTAGTTAATGTCTAGCATTATTTATTTATAATATGGCAGATTTGTTTGATTCTTCTATATGACGTGGTTTTTATTTTATTTCTTTTTTATCATATATTTAATTCAACTTTCAAGCATTCAGATACTGGAGCAGTGTAAACAAAGGCGAATAGAACGGATGCAAAAATCAATTTAATCTTTTGATTTGAGTTTAAATTTGTGACTTTTCTTCTCTTTAAAACTGATTTTATATAATTAAGTTATTACATAATCCTATCCGTTTTAACGTTCAGCAGTGTTGATACTAGCTTTATAAACAAGCAATAGTTGCTTTACTTTTTAATAAAGCAATAATAATAATGGAAAAAAAAGAAAGTTATTTTTCTTTCGTAAACATGTTTGCAGCTCTGAGGTGAGTTCATTTAATCCTGGTGTAGAGAAGAGGAGACACCCTGCTCGGTGTATTTCGGGGACTACTAGCGCCTTACCAGATGAGGGCCGGTCCGAGTAGCGCGTACAGTAAACCCAGGCGGGCCACAGCAGCGGCTGGCTCTCCTTCATTCCCGCTGGAGAGCCTCCATTGCTTCCGCTCATAACCATAATCGACGACGGACTGTCCGCGTATCTGCCGGCCCCGTTGCTGGCCGCCTCGCCTGGCTTCGACGAGCTCTGCTTGGATGCGGGCGACGAGGACGTGGAGGAGGACGATGAGGGCGAGGAGGAGGCGCTGTCGCTGCTGCAGTTGGAGTCCAGGCAGAGGCTGCCGGCGTGCGGCGGCCTCGCTCCCAGCGGGTTCACGTTCTCCCTGCCCGGCGTCTGGCTGCGCTCGCGGTAGCTCGGCTCCTTCCTGCAGCCGAAGTCCGGCCGGAGGATGTTGTCGATGAAAAAGTTCGTGGTTCTGTGGGCCTGCTGCGCGGCCGGATGGGGTAGGATCATGGCAGGGGATGGGAGGTTCGGCGACAGGGACATGCTCTCGTCCTCGGTCGAGTCCCGGCCGCTGCTGGGCTCCTTGTGCTCTTCCATAACAGCTGGTGATGGTGAGAAATCTCAGCCTCTCCACACCAGATTCCACTTGTTGCTCGCTCTCCCTCCTCACTTCGATATCCAGTTCAATACAAAAAACAAGCCTCTCTCATAGAGCAAACGCCTGGTTTCTATTATAACATCAACTACAGCGGCAGCATGTCTCCTAATAACCCGAAGCTTGGCATAACCATCAGCTCCACAACAACCAGTGCCTGTGTCTCTTCACGGTGCAGCATAATATCTCTGTATTCGCTCTTCAAACTCTCCTAAAATCAGATCCCCCCCGTCCAAACCCCCGTGTGCTACTCCGCCGCGTTACGCCAGTGCGCGCACACACGTGCAACACACCAATCAGATGCTCCGATCGTCCCTGTCACGGCTTACGACGACCAATCAGGGATCCGAACGCTTCATGAAGCTGGCGCGCGCGCGCGCCTGTATCACGGAGGTGATCGATATTGGAGAAACGCACGTGCATGTGCATGTACACAGCAAAACAAAAACAAGAGCGAAGCAGCCACCATAATAAATGGAACAAAGAGGCAAAAGCAGCTTTTACCTTTGATTCCAGCAGCCAGGGGCAATTTGAGTTTCACATGATCCATATTATATTTATTATTAATATTTGAGCCCTGAATGGTATTAAAAAAAAAGTTAGATGAATGTATGCCACCCAAGGAAGTACCTGCATTTGTTAAATTTAGCTATTTCACAGTTTGGCTATTTTGGGCTACAAGTTAGAAATATCTAAATGCGCAAAATAAACTTTAGGATTTTAATACGAAACAGGAGAGAAATGTGTTTAGGGCGTACAAATATACGAAAAGCGAAATTCAAAATTTGTTCAGCCATGTTATTTTTTCATAAATTAAGCCATCAAAAACCCAACAATTTTTTTAGAATAAATATTTACAAATATAAAACCGAACATTTATTACACTTCGTCATTTTGTCCCATTTCTACTCTATTATGCTTTCAAGTTACTAAGCGATCAAAACTTAATAGGTAGTTGTGAAATGGAGGCGTCTGTTATTTATTTGCAAAAATGAATAACAGAAAAAACATTTTTATCATATTTTACCTACACTTTAATATTAAGTAAATAGGTTTATGGTGTTGACCAGGGGTCCTAAGATTCGTCTGGTCATTCAGAGCAAACATCTGGAAATACAAAATACAGTCCAAGCAAAGATGTCAGAAAATAACAAACAAAAAAAATCCAATTGCACGTGAAATTTGAGGAGTTTTATGATCGCCATAAAAAAAAATGAAAGTGCTAAACAAGAAAAATAAACTTATACGCGCAGTGGTTTATAGTTATGAAATGGTTTGTTTATAATCCAGCTGCATCATCAACAACTAAGCAAAATGCAAGTCCCATGAGGTTCATCACCCACTACACTGTGGTGTATGTATTTATCTAATTATTTTGTGAATCATAACGTTGTATTTTTAACTGGGCTGCTCACATTTTCCAATTATAACACGTTTCCTTCAGCACAACTGGGGTTATGACAGCTCTCAGGTCTCCTGCTGAGCAGCCTGTCATAGCGCTGTTTTTGCTTTTCTCTTTTAACTGTTTTGTACTCCGGAAGAGAAACCCAAGCTACTGCAGGCATACTTGGCAAGAAAACGCTTTCTGGTACGAAATGGAAGTAGGTAAGCACGAAATGGCGTGTATGCGAAGTGGGCGAAGCCGCTTACAGTGTGCTTTATGACGTGAGCACAAAGTGAAACTGCAAGCGCGGCTTGCTGCGGGGCCTGAAATGTAGTTAAATCTCTTTCATATTAATAAAATGGCCATCAAGCTCCGCAATTAGTGATTTGAAGTAATAATGATAATATTTCTAATCATAATGGCGACAAGAGGAAAGTGGGGACGTGTTGATGGCTAACAGTGGCGCGGTGAAATCTTCATCCCACAGGCCGGACTGGGAAGCTCTGGCTACTTAATTAAATTCCAATTAGGACAGTATCAATGTGCTGTTTTAGCCGCAGCGCCTTTGTGACTAAATGAGCTCTCAGTCTACTCTTATCTGGCGCCGCAAAGAGGGGCCTGCATGAGAGGGGCCACTGAAGATAATTTATAGCTTTTAATTAGTCCTCCCTCCGCCCGGTCCGCTCGGTGCTCATCACGGGGAGCGGCCTGAATAAAACCCGAGTCACAAGCGCTGTCACCGCCGCCTGGCAGGGCCCTTAATCAAAGTGAAGCAGGGGCCGCGCTACAAGCCACGTAATTTCCAAGGTGCTGATAAAGCTTGTTGAATAATAGCGGGGCCCCTCAGAGACACCATTTACAGAAATGACTTTATTGACGGCTTAACGTTGGTGATTCATTTTACCTTTCATGTACTGGGAGCCGGATTTGTCGCCGTAATAGGATGATAAATGCACTGACGGATCGCAGCCGCGCTTTTATTGAGTAGCCCATAAAGTCGAGGTGCTTCAGTACACACTCTCTCTCTCACACACACCCACACACACCATTGCACCTCTGGTTGTAAAGAAGCTGAACAGCGTTTTCCGCTTCAAAATTAAGCTTTTAATTCAAAAACATACATTAGAATAATAATATGAAAATACTGTTATTTGCATAGCAAAGCAGTTTTAGTTTTCACACAAGCAGGCTTAGACAAAAAGAAAAGTATCGTCGGGTGGTGACTCTTAAAAAGTTAAATAGATATATTAATTATTCGCTTCTTCACTGTGTTGATTTCAAATTCCACGTCTAATATTTGCGATTAATCACATTCGCACTAACATTTTTTCCATTTCTTCATACATAAACAGCATTTTAATTATAACAAATAAAACCCCAGTCAGCTCTATAAAAAGGCGGAAATTCAAACACACTAAGAACAAAGTCAAATATTTCTTATCAACTAAAAAAATCCACTATATTTAATTATGCAGGAAAATCATTTACTTTCTTTAGATATGTAAATCATAAATTTGCACCTATAATTTGCCTATAATTTGCGCGTATTTCTTTTCCCTTACCGTTTCATGATCACCTTGCATCGTGTTGTGCTCTGTGTTATATCGTTACAGTCATTTTTATTATCTTTTTTTGTCTTAAGTTGCTTGGACTCAATCTTCAAATGAACTAAGACTTTACAAATTGCTCCTTTTGACACATGTAGGTGAGATAACTTAGTGGGAAGTTGTGAAACAGCTTCCGTTGTTAGCCGTGTGCTTGTGCTGCCACCTAGTGGAGAACAGGTGCGACCTGTAAAAAGTTATTTCCTGATCTGAACAGTAGGAGGCAGTAAAACATCTTATGTATTTCTACTTGTTAATCCTTTTGTACTTAAAATTCTTATAAAAAGCAAAGGAATAAAAAAGGATTATTGATAACAAACAGTATTTTTTATTATTATTTTTTGTGTGTAGCCTAAGCAATGAATGAATGAATAAATAAAAATGGCTACAATTACTGCAATATATGTTGCTTAGAAAGTACATAAAATATTATTACTATGTGCCACCACCATGTTTTTGCAGTGGTGGTTGTGATGTGCCATGTAATTTTTCTACATTATTGCCAAAATGTCGCATTTTGGTCTCATCTGATCATCTTCTTCTATATGAACCATCAATCCAAATGTCACACTCTGACTGAAGTAGCAAAAATAATAATTTGTACCTCAGATTTTTCTCTCTGTGAAGCTTGCTGTGATGTCACAAGGATACTTCTGGTTGAAAATATCAGAATAAAAGCACTTCCTGTTCTTTTCATTCAGAAGTTCAACAATCAGATATTTACATGCTACACTATTTTTTTAAATCATTCATTATGTAGTGATTTATACCTGAAATTTGAACATCTTTACAATTTAGAAGTGACAGAAAATAGTTTCTGTCAATATTACCAATTATTCTCCAGCTCAGAGTAAGGAGAAAATCTTATTTAACCCAATACATGTCTAAATATTTCAATTTCTGTTCCTAATTAAGTCAAGGATTTTCCCTTATTCGATTAAAAGGGACATTTGTTTACCGATTATGTAAAATATCATGCTAGTTAGAGGGTAAAATTGAAGAGCATCTGTGTAACTTTAGCACCACCTAGTGTCTGAGTGGAGATAGGAAATAAAAACCAGCATTTCACTTCAGAGCTTTATGCTACTGCTAGTTATGTTACAACTTAACATAACTTTATGTTATGTTAATTTAATTTAAAGTATGTTCTTAAGAAAAGTTGCTAAAAAATGAATCTTTTTTTTAAATTACAGTGGAATCAAATTTGTACAATAACAAGAGAACAAGAAATAAGTTACACAAATCTTTTTATTTAAACTGCTCATCACATCTATTTTATTGAGAAATATTTAACTTTTTCCACATCTTGTAAAATTAAACAAAAATGATGTTCATCTCATGCATTTTAGTTTCAAATGCACCTTAGTTTGACATTTTTAACTTTAAGCTTCTGCTGCATGATTTGAATGTGACATTAAGATACTCTTCAACATATGTAAACATGTTCAGACCAATGCACCTTAAATAGAATTTATTCACTGAAATACAAGGCTAACGGCATGCCCCATAAGGTTTTTTCAACCACATCACAAATATAGAGGAACACGGGTAAAAATAAATTAAATAGATGAAAAATGTATAACCTTCGATAAAGATATTGTTTTCTAAAATATATATATATTTTTATAACATTTATAGCCAGATTTAGAAAATGTTCATTCCTGTCTTATATTTACAACATTGTTAGGTGAAAAAAAAAAACATAAAGTGTTTTGTAGAAACATTTTAATTATCATATTTTTGTTCTCTTTTTCCAGCTATTCAGAGAAAAGGTTGCACGTTATCCAAACAGACCAAGCTCTTGACTTGATGCCGAAGCAACTCTCATCCAGTTTTAGCTAAAAAATGTGACATAAATCCTGCATGTAAATATGCTGCATGAATGCAGGCATGTGTAAAAACAATTCGTCCTGTTATCTTAGGAAGGAAAAATAGGTAGGAAAAATGACATAAAATTTCATTAGCCTGACAAATCATTAATCATTACTATAATCAGTCAATTCTTGCAACACATTTATTGATCAGATTTCTCTTGTGACTCCAACATGGACACATTCTGTTGTCCTAACAGCTGTATTATTATTAAGTTTGGAGTCTAATCACCTTGCAGTGTAAGTTTAAAAAAGACTTCAGTTACATTTATTAAAAGGAACCTTCACTGTGTTACTTTTGTGTTTCTTTACCATAGAAACCAATTAGTATGGAGACCAGTGTGTAGCTTAAATTTTAAATGATCAGCAATGTGTTGATATAGGCTGGAGAATTATACTGTACTATGTCAGGTTGGATTTGTGTTTAGATCTATTTATAGCTTACAGTTTAGTTTAATAAAGATTTTATTTGAAAAATACATTTCTTATACAAGTTAATAATTTACTTGCAATTTACCACTTTTCTTATCATTAATATGCAATACTGTGCTTGTAAAGTTATTGCGCTGTATTTTAATGGTCCACTAGCAGCCATCACTACCAGTATGTTTATATATTTCAAACTCAAATGACAGTTGTGCAGCTTTCAGCACTTGTACACATAAATATAGGATTTTTGTTGGTCATCAGTCCAAATGTCATAATGCTGGCCATGAAGGTCTGTAGGGGGAATTGGTTAGAAATGTGTGTGAACTAAATTAGGATTTAATTAAGCCCAATAAAAAAGAGAGAACAGATTAAAATCTTCCTCAAATGTAAACAAATATTGCACTTCTTTATATCACCACCAGAGGGCGTACTACAACAGTCAAAGCAGATTTAAAAAGTGAGTCTAATGGCCATCGAATATTGATTCACTGACATTTCTGCCTCTGCAGAAAAAATAGCATAAAGTGACAAAATAAATAATTTTTATTGGTTTAAAATGCTGATTTTAATGCCAAACTGTCTTGAAGATCTAATCCAACCAATTAAAATGTGGATAAATAAGCAAATCTTAATGAGGAGTGTTGTGTTTAAAACAGTAAATTAACCTGTTTTATTCTCTTTGCACCACAGGTGTCATTTTGAATAGATTTGTGTTCACAGGTGACAAGCCTTGAATAGATTTTCACAAACAACAAGTCATCCCACTTTTAGGCACCGGGCCACATCGTTTTGCACATAAACGATATTGAAATGCCACCAATGTGTAGAGGACATGTATGCATACCAAACAGCAATTATTATTCACTGGGTTTGCTCCTTCTCTTTCTTTGTCCCCCTCTGTCTGTATCTCTCTCCAAGGTCCCGGCTCTCTGCAGTAATAATACATGAACAGCTCCTCTCCCTCATCCATTAATCAGGAGGGAGGCTGAGGTAACGCCAGGCTGATCTTTGGCCCTCACACACACATACACACTTACCTTATCGCTAATAATTGAAGGGATATTAATGCAGATGAATAATTAAGCTTTGGGGGGGGCTCTCTTTAGCGTCCTAATGAGAGGTGGCGACAGATTGCTCCGAAGTCTTATTACGTCTCGTCGAGAAGTTTGGGAAAGCTTAAAGTGGTGATAAATGGCCTCCATCTGGCAATTGGTGAATTAAATCAATGCAGGCGCTTTGCAGAGTTTCCAATTTGAGCAACGCCACATTGTTGCTCTAATGAAGAAATCGGTCTCCGATCCTTTCTGAATTCTGTCATTCTGAGAGGAAAAGTGAATCTGATGACTAGTTTGTTTTAATCTGAGAGATTTTAACCAACTAGTAGAAGTAATTATTGAGATATTCTGCCATATAAACATGCTAACAAAATGTTGTACATTAAGGAAAATCATTAAGATTTATCCTGTTTCTGCCTTTTTATTACACTTAAATGTTATAGGTCACCGAAGAAATTTTATTATCAGACGAAGAAAACCTGAGTAAAACAAAGATGCTGATGGTTTAATTTATTAAGAGAGAAAAGTTATCCAAGCCTAAAAAGTAATTTCTTCTAACGCTAAAAACTAATTAATATTTTACCTGCAGAATGGGCTTTCAGTTGTTAGCTTTATTGCTCAAACTTCAGGGAGACCAAACGTTTCAACACCATCTGTGTCTCCATCCCTGTTGCTGTGCTGACTTGTGACTCCGATGAAGACACAGATGGTGTCGAAACGTTAGTCTCCATAAAGTTTGAGCAATAAAGCTAAAAACTGATTGAGCTGTTAGCTATTTTTACCCATTTTCTCTTTCTTACTGTTGAGTTATGACCAGGTCTTAACTGGTCATAACTCAACACTGGTCTGCAGTGTTTTGATAAACTAGCCTCTCCTAGAAAGTTGCAACACTTCTTCCTGTTTTCTATATTTGTGGATAATGGCGCTCAGTGTGGCTTGTTGGAGTCCCAAAGTTTCAGAAATCACTATGTAGAGGTCCTGTGATGGAAGCACAACACACATATAGAGGCCTTAGTTCTCGACGTAAATGTCACAGGTTCGAGTCCCGAGCTGTTGACCTTTGCTGCACTTTTTCCTCTTCTCTCTTAACCTACTTTGATGTCAAATAAAGGCCACAAGAGCCAAAAAAACCTTAAAACCCCCCAAATTTTTTTTATCTTTTTTCACCCTGTGGCCTACTTCATGTTGTCAGACAGGTTCTACTTCTTCATTTATCATTCTGGTGGTAATGCTGAATCAGAAAATTGAAGAATCTTTGATAAAAAAAATATTTAATCACAGATACTGCATGATTAAAGAGGGCTTACTCTTTCAGATAAGAGATCCCTTTTTCTTAAATAAATGAAATTATTTACAACATTTTTTTATTTTTAGCATCTAAAGAGTTCATTGTCCTGGATGACTTAGCAATCTGTACATTAGCTCTGAAAACAGTTTATTATTGTTTTGATGAATTTGTTTACACTCAGCTTGTCAATCCGTGGTAATTGCAACAGCTCACAAACCTCAAAAGAAGCCAGGCTGTCATTTCAGATAAAAGACTGATGAAGGATTTTCTGGAGACGCTGGGTGTTTCAGACTCTTCAGATTTGACATTTGTAGAAGAAACAGTTGTGTGGCTTGTTGCAGCAGCTGTTGTCAGCTGTTAGAGATGTGCTGTAACTCGCTGCTGGTGTTCAGGGTTGAAAAAAAAAACTAAACAAAAACAAAAAAAAAAACAAAAAAAAAAAACACCGCCAGCAGAAAGGCTCCTAGGATGGTTATTTTGGTTACCAGTGTCAGAACTGGAACGTCTCACTTTAGCTGTTGGATGGTTTGTTTTTAAATGTGGATCAACATCCATTATTCATCCAATAAAATGTATTCATTTGATGATCCTGTGTTATATAAAATCACATTGACTTACAGTAGTTAATATTTATGCTCGAAATGTCTCTATATTGTAAATATTAACTTTTAAAGATAAAACAAATAACAGCATTAGAGACAGTTTCCCAGGTGCAGCTAGACTTTTAGATCAACATCTTGTCTGTGTATTTTTGTTGTGTGACTACTGGAACATTTTCATAATTCTTTCCGACATCAGTTCAGTCACTTTCTAACTAGAAAAACTTTAGCAACCTCAGTATTTAGTTAGAATAATTGAACTAAAAATACAGAAGAAAGAATGTGCAAACTAATTGACTTTCTGTTATTTTAATATTTGCAGATGACATGATAATGTGTGATGAGAGTAACATGAGAGAAGGAATGAAGGTAAGTTAAAAAATAAAAACACAAAAATGATGTTTGTGAACAAGATGGAGATCAGAGGGCTGTGAGTTAATGTGGAGGAGTTGACCAGTGTGTCCAGGAGGGATAGTGGATATATTGGACAAATGAATGTGTAAAATAAATATGCCAGGAAGTAGTAAATAAGAAGTGAAAAGGACGAGCACAGAGGAGTTTCATGCATGCACAGATCTGAACACTCACAGCCAAGGGCGTAGGTTCGGTCTAAGTTTTGGTGGGGACCTTGGTGGGGACCTTTACCCCCCCCCCCCGCACTCACACTGACTGCCTCCTATAGAGCAAACAAAGCGTAACCTGGTTTGTATTCACTCTAGTTTAACTTAATTTAAGACTAACACTTCAAATGCCATATTTACTGAGATAATTTCACACTGTATATTTCATATCTGAGAACTAACACCTCACCTGGAGCCCTGAAGCTCCAGCCACCTCTCCATCGTTCTCCATCGTTTTCCTATGTGAAAAAATATTACATAATTAACAGACCTATTCTACCTCACATTCAGTGCTGACCTTACTAAACACCGGACTTTACAACAAATGCGTTGCGTGATAGATATCTAACTTATGGGTCCACTCACTGTACTTACAGCCGACGTAGCGAAATAACTTCTAATGTCTCCTTTTCTTTTTTGGTGGCGACATGGTCTCGGAGACTCAAAAGGAGACGCGTGTGCCCAGCTAGCCGCCGCCTTTTGCAGCTAATCAAAGAACGTCCGACGATTCAACTGACTCCCCCTCCCCCCACCCCCCCGACACGGTCTCGGAGGCTCATAATAAATGTCAAACTAAGAAGCTTCCGTTCCGCACCGCCTGTTGCTGCTAATCAAAGATCGTAGATCCACGTTCTTTGAGCCAATATGGCAAAAATTGGTCGGGACTTTTTCATATCCCGTGACATGTCCCTACCGTCCCTACCCAAACCTACGCCCATGCTCACAGCTCCTATGAGTGCATCGCCAATGAGGTTCAGGCTTTACCTTTTCTGTATTTTCTTTCTTCACTCATCCTGCATCTGGTGATGGTGGCATCCTTCCGATTCCTGGAAGTTCTCATCTGAAATGATATGTGCTAGATCTAATCAATTTCTGCCAATTCACAACAAAAACAGTCTTACGTATACTCGATGTGGTATACTGTGAGCAGCAGACAACATGGACCTGCAGAGGCTCATAAACACATCTCAGATCATCAAATGCTCTCTGTCCTCCCAGGAGGAGGTTGCTAACTCCAGGTGCATCAGAAGAGCCATCCTCAAAACTCCTCCCACCAAGATCATCATTTGTTTACTTTAATGCCTTCAGGCAGCGTTATAGATTGATGGAAGCCTCAGCCACCAGGACAAAAACTAATTTTTATCCAGAGGCCGTCAGAGCTTTCAACTGTGCATGTAAATCACATTGATTTCTATTTTAGTAAAAACAGTCACTTTAATCTTGTACAGTTCTACCTGCTATTGGTAACTTTTATATATGTTATATGTTTATATAAAATAAAGGACCTAAACTAGGTTGTGTTGGTCATTGTCAATCATCAAATGCTGATTGTGAGGAAAAGTCAGGAGAGAAAGCTGTGAGGCAGAAGGTTATAGCTAAATGTTGACAGACGAATTAGAAGCAAATACTCCACAACATCCACGTGCAACTAAATATAGACAAGGTTTTCACTTTGAGACTGTTTTGATCCAAACTGTGTTCACATTACAAAGACACAGTTGAGCAACAAGAGGGTAAAAGTGTCCTGCTCACTAGACAAAGTGTGAAACTAAGGCCATTAAGCTTCTATTCTTCATATCTTCTCCATAAGAAGATGTGATAAATGTTGTGAGAAAGAATAGTAGCAGTCTGACAGTGAATAAATAGATGGATGTACATTTCTAAGGGACATTAAATGGAAAAGACATAACATAAAGTATCTTGAATTCATAGCAGCTGCAATAAAACATTGAAATTATTTGCTCTGGGCTTGTGGTTTAAAGAGACAGTAGTTCTGACTAAAGAGTCCCATCTTGTGATCTAATAACGCCGACTTCACTGCTAATGCAGTTTTTAAAGTCATGAATATGAAATTTGAGCATTAACATATTAATTTCTTGGAAAGCGCTGACCTGATTGGCATAGTGGTTTTTGTCTGCTTGTAAAACAGTCTGTCTACATGGGGAAAAACACGCAGCACCTTCAGCATGACCGGCACCGAGGGCGGCTTGTGTGTCTGTGTGGGACTTCATCAGCCATGCTGCTTGGGGCCAATCTAACCTTTCAGTCTGCTCTCTAAGGATCTCCTCTCATTCTGGCTTTGCACAGCCTGTCACCGTCTCCAACTAAAGGAAAGATAAAACATACAGTCCTCATTGGCTTTCTTACAATAAAAGCTGCCTACCTCACTGACTTCTGTAACCTTTTCTCCTCTGTGAAGAAAAGACAGGCTGCGCTGGGTGATGTATGAAAGCGTTCTCAAGTTTTTTGTAGTGTATTTAGACAGAATATCCCCTCCCTTTTCTTCTTTTTATTTTTATTTTTTACTAACAATGATATTTAAATAAAAGATCATGGTCCAGAGATAAACAAGTCTGCACTTGGGCTTCCAGCTAAATTCAAATGTCATGCTCACAACCACGAAGCTAACATCCCGAAATGTTTAGCGGCTGCAGCGCTTGTCACGTTCAGGGTGCCAAACTGCTAACATTTACTAAACATGACTTTAGTTTTCAAACCATTTGGCCATAAATTACATAAGCTTGTCCTCTAAAGTAAAAGATACAATCAGGATGAAGCCGGTTTTATTTTTTTACCTGCATATTACAGCACTTTGCAAATTTATTCAAACCGCTTTAACTTGTTTTTGTCACAAACCTCAAGGCATTTTGTCTGGGTTTTATCTGAATGAGCGACAGAAAGTGGGAAATAATTGTGAAGTGGGAGAAAATGGACATGATGTTCACATTTTTCACAAATACAAATCTGAAAAGTATGATATGGATACAGTGGACACCACTCTATCTGAGGTTCAGTATTTGAAAATGTATCTGTTTGCATATTTTATTGTAGCTCATTTCTAAGGCCCACTCCTCAAGGTTTTTTGTTATTAAGTAGGAAAGTTTTTAACAGTTTTTGCCCTGCAGCCACACAGAAACAAACTGTTTTGTTTAAACTCTGACATATTAGCCCAATCCCTGTGGGCGGGGCCTAAAATATTCAAATAATTTAAGACTCGCAACAGATTATTAACTCAGTTTATGTCTGGAATTTGAGCTGCTGATTCTGTCAGCTGAATATGCTTCATTCAGTCTAAACTAGGTGTGTCCAAAGTGTGGACATTTGTAGCCATCAGAATTACTTTGAGTGGTCTGCAATCTCCATTCAAGATGGTGGATGTGATTGAAAAACCATTTAGGGGCTAGATTTTCCCACAAGGTCTTTAAAACAAGATGCAAACAAGTTAGCATCTTAATAATAATGAGAATAATGAGGTAACTTCCAAAGGATGTATCCAAATTTTAATTTTTACAGAAAAAATTAAAAGATGCACAACTTGGCTTTGGCCTGTCAGATAAACACATAATATTTGTGGTTGTATTATGACAAAATGTGGACACGTTAAAGCATCTGAAATCCTTTTGCAGGTTTCTGCAGCTTGAGAAGCTTTTGATCAAGCAGAAGGTGAATGGCTCTCTAAAAGTATTGCCAGGCGTGACAAGCTGCGATAGGAGAGGATATAAATAATAACGATAGAAATGTGTAAAAGGAGGAAGGTAGAGGGAGGAGGCAGTCAGAGGGGAGATGATGGTTGAAAGGACGGAGTGAAAGAAATCTATCATCTTTAGCCTCTCATTATGGGCCGGCTCCGAGAACAAGACAAGACATGTTTCTGACAGTGATGCCTTTTCACTGTCAGCATGCAAGTCACCTGGATATGAACTGTTTTACTCGTGTGAATTAGAGTCAAACGTACCTAGAAAGAAGGAAAGTAGTAATAATTTATGGCAACGATCAGGAATGGCTTTATCGATCAAAACACACAAGTCAGATTCAGTTTAGTGATAAAGTTAGAGTTCATTTTATGAGGTGAAATACTTATTTGAGAGGGAAATTAACATTTTAATATCTCAATTTAAGATTGAGTTCAAACCAAAATTTAAGTTTGTTTTTGTTCCTCAGTTAAAATCCTTTATTAATTTATTTTTCTTATTTCACTTAATATGAAAGATATCTTTAGGCCCTGATCTTGTTTTACTTTTTCCTCATTTGGCCGATTAAAGCATAAAGTAGAGCTCCAAAGTGCAGGCTGACAGAAAACATGAGTCAGCATTTGCAAAAACAATTATCCGGCATATGAGTCGCATCTGTGTCGGTATCTGGCCTCCTCAAAGTACTTTGGGTTGGCAGAAATATAACAATGCATCATCTCTTGTCTTCTGGAACATTAATCGACTTTATTGTATAAAGTTTTGGGATAGAAACAAATTAACAGAAAACAAATGTGGTGAAATAAACCTAAATGAAAACCACTCAACGAAATGTTCCACACATTTTCAAACGATTTAAAGTCACAGTTTTAATTAATTGAACCATATGGTAATCCAGTTTTACACAGCATTCAGGTTAAAGAATAAACAGGGTGATATTTATCCAGAACAACAGATAATTTGTCCAATTTATTGTTCTGCTGCTCATCTTACAATGAGACCATCTGAGGAATAGAAGAACAGAGTGGAGGCTGTTGAGGAATAGCTCTCATTAGAGAGATTATTATTTCCCTCTCTTTGTATCTCAAAAACGAGAAAATGACTCAACTCATGCAACCATAACAAGACAAACAGCAAAAAGTATTTATTGTGTTGTGCTCTACTTTAATTTGTTAGTGGGAGTGGATGTTTCTTGGCTCCAAATTATATACCCAAACGCAAACAGTCAGTGTTGACTTATTATGACTGACAATGAATAAAATATGGCCTGAGTCATATTTTATTCATTGTCATTTTATTCACTGTTAGCGAATGTTTAAAAAGTAAGATATATACAGGAAATTAGGATTTCGTTAAAAAGTTTGTGCCTTTCAGTAGTTCATTTCAAAATGTATGATGATTTTGACTTACAGATGAAATTTAGTTTAATCTTATAGCTTACATACTAATGTTTCTGGTTGTGAACTGATTATATTACACTACAGTTTAACCTGAGATTAGATGTATTCTGGTTTGTAGTTTTACATCTCTTGTTTTGTTTAGTTCTCTCTGCTGATTAGCTTTATAGAGATGCTGATTTCATTTTCCAGTAGGACTTTTTATCTACCTACATTCTCCAAAGTATCAACACTTTCTTTGATGACCAGCTGCAGGAAAGCCCTGTAGAGTCAAGACGTGCATAACAGATGAATTTGTACAGAAGAAAACAGAAAATGAAATATATATTTTTCTCTTTGCCTGTACAATCAATAAACTTGGACATAAACTCTGAAATGCAGTTAGTCTGTTAATATTTAGCAGTTTTGTGTCTAAATAAACCCAGATAATGACGTGTTGATTTGGTAGCAGTGTAATTACTTTCACTGGTGCGCACCGTCTTTGTCTTGCCGCACACTTCCATCTTTACCACGATGACTCCTCAGTTTAACCTCCTTTATTTGGTTTCCCAGTGAGGCCGCTGCTCTCCCCCAGCTGCGTGGTTTGCGAAGCGCGCCGGCTTGCGCAACAACAAAAGAGGAAGATAAGCAGAAGGTTTTAAAAGTGTCATTCAAAGTGTAAATTCTCAGCATGGCCCCTCTCTGGGGGTCTCTTTTGATGTCCCTTTTTATATTTCACTCATGCAGTGTTGGCATTTGCATCTCAAGGCGAGAACACGGATCAATCATGGCGGGGAGGAAACTGTTGGAGTGAAAGAATGAGAAGAGGTTTTAAAAATGCCTCGATGATTGGCTGCTTGTGCGAAGCGTTTGTCAGCAGCAGTATTTCACACCAGTTGCTGGAATCAAATAAAACAAACCAGTTGTCGCCACGGTGGCAAGCTGGTGCATTTTGTATCTGTAAGATTAGACTCTATAATCAGTGTGATCAATTGCAATGATCATCAGTGACGATGGCAGCTACAACAGCACACCCACTCTAAAGCTGGCTGGTTTCAGCAGCTGGAGCGCCCGCAGACACATGCTATCATTACTCCAATATGATGCCTGTTGCTCAGCTGCCTGTCAGGCTGAATTCCCCTGAACAAGGCATGCGTGCATGTGTGTGTGTGTGTGTGTGTGTGTGTGTGTGAAGCCTTGGCCCACTTATCTCATCCATCAGAGGATTTCAGTACTCCGCCTGTCAGTCAGCAATCGCTCACTGTCGCCCCGACCGGGCTTGCCGATCATCTATCGTGTTTGGAGAAACGTGAGTGTGAGAGTGCACGAGCATCAGTCAGCCACTTCCTGACACGTACTGCCGTTGATGTCTCAGTTGGTGTCAGCAACTCCACTTTTCATCCTAAATGTGTCTGCGGTGGGCGATGAGAGCCGTTACAGGGCCATCTTTAAGCGGAAGACCTCCGCTGGTGACATCATCGCTTCGGTTCACAGCTCTAAATCTCTCCAAACAGAGAACACCCTAAAGGGACAGATAATAAAATCTGGCCACTGTGTAATAATACAATTCCCAAATGATCTACAGAGAATGTCAAACTCCAGCCATGTTTAAGCTTAATGGAAGACCATTTAGTCATCTTTCAGTAAAATACTGCCTAGTTTCACTCATCCTGGTCTTGATTTTGGCTGTTATCTTTTGAAACTAATCCTGGGCTCACAACTTCTGCTGTAGTTAACTGGGATAAAGGCAGAATGGTTACTGACAGTGGGCGAACAAACAAAAAGTGATATTCCATGTCCATGGATCTAGTTTCTGTAAAATCCAGTCATTGTGACTGAGCATCTTAACAAATAGTCTTCAGTTCACTCAAAAGACTGCAAATAAGTTAAACTACATATTGAATGTTAGTTTCCAAACTTATGACATTTTGTAATAAAAGATGTTGCATAGATACGTCTGCAGATGAGTTACTTCTTTTGAGCATAACACAGTAAACCAAAAGAATATGAACACCCAGTGTATATGGATTACACCTCCTGCCTGGTCAGATGTATTCAATAGATTAGAAAAGCTTATTATAGAAATTTTATCATTGAGTAAAATACATTATTTAGCTTAATTACACACAGATGGATATTTGAAAACCTTTAAATGTGAGATTTAAAATTGGAATATTTCATAAGATCAATTAAAATCTATTCTTAAAAAATATTAAAAGCATATTTAATACCTGCTTTAAGGTTATTTTAATCTGACAAAAGAGCTTAATCAGGATATTGTAATTTATTGAACATGACTGAAAGCTGTTCTGATTTTCAGAGACAGGTAAAGCATACCAGAGTTTATCCTGGATGGTATGGGCTTGGAAAGGAGTGGAAAAATGTTCATAAACCCGCCACAAGTCGACTCAAACGTGTGGGTTAAATACTTCTGCATTCTAGAAACATTAGTGCATGCGACTGAGAAATAGAAAATATAAGTGTCTCATGTCAAGATTATCCTCCGATGTGAATTTACCCCAACTACTTTTAAAATTCCAGTTAGAGAAAAGCCTTGAAGATTTTAAATTCCAACTTTATTCCCACTGGGTTCCATAAATTCAGGGATCCTGTTGGGCCCAAATGCATCACCCAGAGGGAACATTAAAGACAGTTGTCAAAGTATTATCCATCTGAACGACAGAATAATTCACTGTGGTTTTGTTATATTCTGTATCTGTACTGTCGCCACCTTTTTCCAACGAGGGAAACTAATAGTTCGGACCATGAACGCTTGACTCTTGACAGGAACGGGGATGGCTTCTGATAGGAATTTTAATTGCGTCATCTCAGAACATGAGGTTGGACTTAATTGGTAAAAATTTCCAACTTTGCCCAGGATGTCACTAAACCATACACGCTGGACCTTTAAAAATCTCCAGAGGGGTGCAGGGTTAAATCTCTAGATTTTATGTATGACATATGAAACATAAAAACTATAGACTTAAGTTTCAGAGCAGGCAAAACAAAAGATAAAACACTAAAAGCTGTCGTAACAGGTGTGTATAAGGAGCTATTTTCCTTGCGTAGCTGCGTAGCAACACAATCCCCTCTGAGCTCGGCCAAGTTTGGACGCTGGGAGCAGGAGGAGAAGCCAACGTCTTAAATGAGGTTTATCAAAGCAGACATACTAATATTTGTTTCCCACCAATTCCATTTAAAGTGTCAGAGCTGGCGTGTAAACAGCTGGTTTGTGCGCCTCCCCAGGGGGATAGGTATTAAAAAGGAAAATCCAAAATGCACACAAAACAGCCATCATCTTAATGAGGGCTTACAGGAGCATTGGAGGCTGGTGCACTATTTGCAAATAGCTCATCAGGAATCAAACACATGAGGCAGAAAGCTTGGCCTTCACTCAGTTTCATATTTCACAATGCTTCAGATTTTTCCAACATTTAAAGTACCTTATTTATATTCCATCACCTTATGTCACATTAGGATTTTCTCTGATCTCTTGTCAAGGGGGCATGTGACCGTCCTTCAAAGTTAGCGCGTAAACAGTAATTCAAGTGGAGCAGAGTTTGATAAAATGCATTTTCAATTCCATATCGTTGCATCTAATTTAAATAAAAGCTTTATGTGACAATTTCAGACACATTTTATCATCTAGTGTTGGAACATTTTGCTTTAATTGCCTAAAATCAAGTAATTTAAGACAGTAATTTATCAATGCAATCACATAAGATACCTGTTCCAATATTTAATTAATCTTTTGTGGTTTGCAGCTTAAAGCTCTGAAAGGAAGGCTTCCTACTGGACTCATCTGCTGAAAATGTCCAGAAGGAGCAGAGATGTTCAGGCCCTGAAGGACACACTGCAGAAACACAAGGTTTGTCCACAATAATGCTCTTTCAGCTCTTTCAAGGGAAATATTTCCAGGAATTTCCAGCAGCAAAGAATCTATGATTGAAAAGGAAAGTGCTGTTTTCAGAGAACGGACAGATTAGCTCAGAGAAATGTTTTTAAAGTTATTTATTGGTATATATGAGAACAAAACAACCATGAACAGAACATGACAACAGGTTTTTAGTGTGATTGGTTATTTTGTTAAACACAGACCACTACACACATCAGCACAGTTTGGCATGCTGCAGCAATCCAAGTTGCCATTTGGAGTTTTCGCAACTTCCTGTATTGTATTGTATTGATGCATTCAGAATATTTATTTGGCTGACTTCAAGCTTTCCTGTGCCATTTCCAAATTTCAACACAGTGTAAAAAGGTTTTAGAGGGTTGACTGATTGTGTTTTTAAAAGCACTTGCATGCTTGTGTACAGCTTTTGCCTTGTTAGTATTCCTCAAACCTATGCTGACTGTCACCAAATTCAGTCCTCCTCTACAAATATCCTCCAAAAGGGATTTATGTCCTCCAGCATTAATTACTGAAATACCAAAACACACATGCACACATGATATGTCTACTGAATCATATTGTTAAACTTAAATAAGAAATATTTTCAGTCAGTTACAGTCGCATTTGTTCATGTTTCACCTTTACATCACATATCGTAAATTTTGGCTCAGTAGGATTTGCATAATCTTTCAGACTAGCAGACAAATAAACAACTGCTGACCTCAAGTCTTACTGTATCAGAGGAAAAACTGTGCACTTGTTAGGATTCTCCTAATATGCTATGATTGACATCATGATACAGAAGTTAACTGTTACAGTAATTTTTACATCTTCACGTACATCAAGATGTGAAAATCACTATAATGTTTAACTTATTTACACATATAATGACCTGCTTGCTTTCAACTGAAAATAAAACATCTAATTTATTGTTGCTAAAGATATAAATAATATATTTTGGCTGAAGGATTTCAACAAAACACTAAATCATTTATTGTACTGATAATCACTTTACATTTTTTTAGAAAAACATATTCACAGCACCGATTTAGCTTGTAGGCTAACCGCTAATATGCTACCATGTTAAACATGCTAACCCTGCTCAGTCGCAATAGCTTTCTGTTTGTCTGATTTTGTATTTAAGTTTAAAGTGATTTTCTCGTTTTGACTTACATACGCTTTGATGTTATTAAGTAAACAAAAGATTCAGAAAATGTGAAATAGGTATGAGGAAACTCAACAGTAAAGATTGGTCCGTATTGTTGTATTTATTACAGTTTCTTCAGCTAACTAGCTAGCTGATAGCACAGTACAAAAATTGTGAAGTAACTTCCTCTTATGCAAAGTATTCTACTGAGTAAAATGAGATTAATCTGATCAAAAACAAACTAAAATTTGAACAGTGTTGGGAAAACAAAGGCTGATTCAGCATAGCTAACGAAAAAGTGAAACAAATTTGATTTGCTAAATTTGTTCTGGAGATGCTTCTTAATGGTTTTGATGTCACTATTACACAAAAACACAACTTTTACTGGAACAGCAAGTAATTTGTTATGCATAGCTTTGATAAGCTGTGTTATACCTTCATTAAATAATCTTGTTTTATCCACTTACATTACATATGTACAAAATCAGTCCCTAAATGTTCAACTTGGTGAAGATAATAATATATTAGCACTTAGCTTACTGGCTAAGTGCCAGTAAGCTAAGTGCTCACTTAGCCAGAAAATTGTTAGATTCTAATTCTAATTCTAATCTCCAATTAGAAATTGCTTTTCACAAGGAGAACTAATTATTTAATATTGTGTTGATATCCCTCAGGGAAATTATATTACTAAGCATTAAATAATAAAGGAGACTTCTTCTGGTGTTTTGATGAAACTCTGTAAAAAGTCAGCACTGTTTCATTTCAGCATACATAGTCAATCATCACATTAAAACTGTAATTTTGCCCCAAAATTTAAGTTACAGTGTTGTGAACAGGTCACTAAATAGTGCCTCACCGACAGTCCTCTTAATATGGTCATATTTCTTTTTAAATATTGCTGTTATTGCACAAGGTGCCTTATAAACAACCAGCGAAATGCCAATAATCTTTAAGGCCCGTCGTTATTTTCCTCAAATGGTTTTAAGACGTTCCTCCAGGAACATTTCCTCCCGGGTTCTTTATGGTGTGTCGTAAATCACCAGGAACATGAGTTTTCTCACACTGAGATATCAGTCACAGTTTTATAGCAATCTCTATCTAAACTCCAGTTAAAATAAATGTCATATACAAAAATCTTTCAATTAGTTTTTACAGCATATAGGGTTCAGATAGCTCTGTAAACTTGAACAGGTGTGCAAAAGAAGAAGAAAAAAAAAAACATAATTAACCTTTAGTTGAGACAATTTCAGTCCAAAGCGCCTGTTGTGGAGGGTTTAATCGGGGTATAAGATGAAGCCAGAGAAGGTGCTGTACTTGTTGTTGTTGCCCCCATGTGCTTTTCCGCCATCCAGTTTAACATACACCTCGTCTCCAGAGTCCAAATGCAACACAGCACTGTTACTGGCGTAGTCATAGTTCTGGTCTGCATCTTGGGCTATGGCGCTGGCCCGTACCTGGTTCAACAAGATAAAAAGAAACTCAGGATGTAAAGACCGAGTGGAAAAGTTCACATGCACCTGAGAGGCAAAGTAAAACAGCAGTGGTGCGGAAAATTGTTAGATTCTAATTTTAAACCTCCAAATGTTGATTCAAGAGGAAATATGTTAGCATTAAAGCTGTAGGATGTAATCGAATTTGACTGGGCTGCTTAGAAAAATTTGAATTGAACCTATCATGAATATTTGCCAAAAAAGGCCAGAATTGAATAAAATGAAAAAATTGTAAGTCATGGTTTCAAATGTCAAACTTAAATTTGTTATACATAATATTATTCACTTAATGTTCCAGGTTCAGGTTCACTGATTTAAACCAGTGTTACTAAACAGATGACAAGCAAAAGTAACTGTGAACATTATTTTATATTAATGTTTCACAGGAAATGAACACTATTTACAGAACACTGCAAAAATCATACATGATTTCATCTTTTAATTAAATTATAATACATAATACATTAAAATACTAATAAATTGATTCATTTGTTTGTGTGTGTTTTTGTTTCTGCACTTTTAAACCTGAATTTTCTTATAAATTATAGACATTTTTAGGATGTTTTAAATTGCCACAGTACCTCATCAAGTGGACCTTTGATTAGTTAACCTCTTATGGTAATATGATATTACTTTAATATCAGAGCAAGTATGAAACTTCTGTCATAACCGTATTAGATCATATAAATTAATAATAAAATATCTCTTAATGGGCATCCAGCCATCCCTTATCGATTCCCGGTGGCCCTGGGTGGCGGGGTTAGGTTGAGGGCGGAGTTGCCCATAGCAACCATGTTGAATTTCTAACATCTTAAATTACAAATTTGTGATTTTCAGTGATGATTGGATAATCGTGTATTCAAAAATGTTATTAAATAGGTGTACATTTATTTTAAATGTTATTTAAATGATCAGGTATAAATCGCTTTTTTGTTCCACGATGTATGGATTTGTATTGTGGCACTTTTGCCCTCGAAATGCGTCAATCTGCAGCTGAAAATGAAAAGAGAAAAGAAAAACCTCATCCGGAGGATTGCTGCGTTAAGCACCTTTTATGGAAATGAGAGCAAACAGAACTAGAAGTGAATAGAACATGAAGATTGAATTTATTTACTCATTTAAACTGTGAAGTTAAAGGGATACAACGGGAGGTTTGCGCCATGCGGTGCGCACTTGGTGCGTAAAATGTAACCCAGCTTTTTAAATTTTGATCAACTTTTCGAGAAGAGAACCGGGTTCAAATAAAGGTGTTTGATCAGCTAAACAAGCTAAGTTTTGAGACCTTATCCTAAAACTGTGTCCATTGATCAGAGCCACGCAGTGCCATGCATGCGCTCTGAGCTGGAGTCTACCTGTCCGTTCTTGCACAGGTCGGCCCACATGCTGGTGCCATCCCCCCCGCGCATCAGCACATGGTAGGTGAAGAAGTAGATTCCGGACACATGACAGGTGAACTTCCCGGTGCTCTGGTCGTAGTGGTTCCCCAAGTTTGTGATCACGTCGTCAAATTTCAGCACCTCATATCCCTCATGCGGGTTCTTGAGACCCACGTAAAATGCGATCCTGTAGCCGCTCACAGTGGAGTTCGCTCCGTCCCCCTCGACCGTGTCACCGGCCCCCGCAGCTCCGGCTAAAGCGGTGAAGGCCAGTTTATTGTCCCCGCGCTCTCCCGGTGGTCCCCTCGGTCCGGGGGGGCCAGGCTCTCCCGGTGGACCCCTGGGTCCGGGCTTCCCGGGTCGCCCGGGCTCGCCGCGGGTCCCTTGCGCCATGGGCGGCAGTGGAGCGACTCCGTTCACGTTCTGGCTCACCTCCATGGCAGTGGCTCCCCCCGGTTTGGGGCTGTATGGGTCACAAACCATCCGGCAGGTGCCCATCATCTCGTAGTAGTGAGCGGAGGTCTCCGGGGAGCGGAGGAGCAGCAGTGGGACAGCGATGGTCAGAGCCAGCAGGACCATGGCGACAGCGGTCACTGCGAAGACCACGGACCACTTCCTCCGGGCCGTGCGTGGACCAATGGACGCCAGAAAACCCGTCGAGCCGCGCTGGAGGGCAATTGTGACTGTTATCAGTGGGGGGTAAAAAGACAGACAGAAACAAAAGAAGTGAAGTTGGGGAAGTACGCATTAGTGTCTCCACCACTCCAGTCCGTGTCTTCAATCCCCTGGGCAGCTGTGACCGAGCGGGAGACGCGCGTCTTGGCTGGATGGAGGGGTGGCGCGCAGACAGCTGCGCACAGCTGCGTCCAGCTGTTTGCAAAAAGAAGACCGGAAGGCAGCACTTCAAATTAAAACAGCAGCATGTACGCATGGATGGATTGTCTGGATATCATTTGGAAAATAGACACGAAGTGATGCTGTGAAAAGGAAATTTTGAGTTCAGCGATTCTGCAAGTCCAATAATGAACATCAGTGCCAACTCTAACGACAGGAAGCATATTGTAAAGGAACGTGTTTCCTTTACAACTTTATATTGGTTGATTAAACCTACATTAACATGCGGAACATAACCCACTCAAATAAGGACTGTCTTTTTTTTCAAAAAAGAAAAAAACTATGCAATTAAAATGTTTTACAAATAATCATAAAATGTGGCTTTCATTTGTTTTCAATCCCTTCTGAGTCTGTACTTTGTAGAAACAATTCACTTTTGCTGTATGTCTCTTCTAGTTTTGCAAATATATTTTCTTGTCACAGATTTTCAATTAAATATTTATGTCAACTTTGACTGGGTCACTCCAACACAGAAACGTGAGCAGCCATTTTCATTTGCAACCTTAATTTATCTCAGATTTGTAGTTATCTAACTTAGCAAGGAAATGCATGAATGTGATTTATTTCTTTGTCCAAACAGCATCTGTGAAGATATGCATAAAACCATATTGCTGATTTTAAAATAATATATTAATAATAATCTTTCTTGGAATGAGCTTAAGCAACTCGCAACTGCAATTTGAATACGGTACATGTTAGAAAATTCTTTATGTTTCTATTAATAAACCAGCTGCCAATACTTTTCTTCAAATATCCAACCAATATGATAGTTTCACGAGAAAAAGTGTTTGCTGTTGAGCAAGTAAAAATAATCAGAATAAAATACATTTTTATGCTTTGAAATAAAAAGTTCTCGTCCATAGTATTTCAAAATGTAACAGGAAATCTTTTTAATTTTGATCCTTCTAACAAAAGGAAAAGGGAAACCTCTTTCCACATTTTTATGACTTGTACTTATTTTTGGCTGCATGTCGAAGAAGTTAAAGAGAGTTTAATGGGTTCAAATCATCCTTTGAAACGAATTAAACTGATTAAAGTTGTTTGAACTGCAGGCGGTGTGTTTACTCCGACATGCCACTCAGGTGTATCTAAATAAACGCGTGTGATTAGTTACTTTCCTTTTAAACATGAATGAATCCAGGTCAAAGTCAGATTTAATGAAGAGCTTAAACTCGCAGGAGCTAAATTCATGACCAAATATTTGACTCAGACCAAGAGGGACACTTTCAAAGTCACTTCATATGGCTGAGGGCAGGTTCACAATGGTGTCATCAGCTGACTGACTGCATTGGTCACTTCACACACACACACACTCATGGAGGGAGAGACGGACAGGGGGAAGAGGGGGCAGTTTATGCATGCTGGATGCAGACCAGGGATGTCTGCTGGCGGTCGACACTCTCAGCTCCATGCTCTCTGTGACTGCAGGGACATATTTGATGTCTTGTTTCATGCAGCTGAGGGCCACAGGCCTCGAATTTAGATTGGCTATCAAATTAAAATTCATCCCATGCAAATCAGCACCCCAGTGCATGCAGATGTGTCTGACATGCCTTTTTAGCCTTCGTTTTCGGTTTTCCTCCAAGACCACTGAACTCTTGCTAATTGTGTGGATTTTAACCACACCTGCTGATTAATAATTGTGTTTCCACCATTAACTGGGCATAAAAGCTTTAGGGATGCTTAATAAAAGCTGGTAATTGTTAAAAACATTCCTTGAAGGACCTTAAATACTTCAAAAGTGCGGGGCCAGCAGAGCTAAGCACCTGGAATTGGAGTGCAGGCCCCACATCCACAACAGAGGCTTTACAGCTCAAGGCAACGTGAAGAAATCTTCAGAGGTTGAAGACGAGGCTTAGCCGAACCCCCCCGCATCACCCCCAACCAATTCCAGCTCGTGCTCAGCTCAGCTGTAACTCTGCAGAACACGGAGGCAGCCACTGCTGGCATCCCAGAGTGAGAAAAAGCACGATGAGCAGCGAGAGCTGGTCGGGAAATTCAAACCAAAGTTGAAAAATCTGAGGGAAACGCCACACCGGCCAGAATGAAAACATCCCATCTTGTTTTACATTTTTCATTTCCCTTTAAAGCTCCAGTAATACACAAAACATACAAAAACAAACCCACTAAAAATATGCAGAAATGCACATGGAGCACATCCTCTTTCCTAATGCGCAGCATGACCTTTAGGAAGGATTAGTACAGTGAACTGTGTCTTTAGGCTGTGGTGAGCCAAACACAACACACTGTTTGCATTATGCACTCCAGCCTCTTAGATTATCCCAGCCTGCAGCTCCGTCATGCTTGTAATCACACTGCACTGCTGCATGATGCACACAAACCTTACGGTGAGGCCAAAGAAGAGAACTGTCACCAGCAGCTTACTTGACTTTGGATGATTTTCCATTCAGCGGAGTAACTGGTAGCAGGTGTAAGGTGGTGTGCATGGTAGTAAACTAACATTGCAAATCACTCGACATCATTTTTTCTGTTCTCCGTTCAGAGATAGGGAAGCTGGTTAGACTTGATGGAGTAAAATACAGGAGAATCTTGGAAAAAGGCTATGGCTTCAGATTGGGGTGAAAGTTCACTTTCCAGTTGAAAATGACCTTGAAGATACATCCAGAGCTACAGTGGAATGATTAGGTCAAAGCATGATCTTGATAGAAAGTCTAGAACTAAATCAATTTAGGAAACTGTGCCATAACTTGAATGCTCATGGATCTAAGGTCTGCTTTGACTATTTACAGAAGTTTTCATAGCGCATAACCAAAATATTGAAAAGAAAATGCAGCTTGGATAGCTAAGATACCAGAGTGCAATGCTACTAGACATGCTAATCGCTGGCGTTTGCAAAGCAGCCAATCCAGGAGCTACATTTGTGTTCCTGAGCACTGATTGGCTGTACCCTTAGGAGACAAATGATGGTAGATGTTAGCTTCTGCTAGGTTTCAACTGTGTAATTCTGCACATTGTGGAAACCAGGGCTCAAATGTATAGACATACCCCACAGCTTCAGTGAAAAGTGGTTCTACAAGTGATTGACCCAAAGGTACTGAAAAGAAAAGAACACTCTTCTTGTTTTGATTTCTGTTTGCAAAAAAAAACAACATTAAAGTTGTGCACTATTTTGTGTTGGTTGATTAAGGGGTTTGAATACATTTGCCAGGCACTGCTATATCAGTCAGTAAAAAAGACACCCAGCTACTTTATAAAGATTTAATTGCTCCAGCTACTTTATAAAGATTTAATTGCTTTTCGGACTGAATTATGAAGGAATCGTTGGTCAGCCATTGTCATTCTGTTCGTTTTGCATTAGTGAAACTTGTTGTACTTATTGTGAATCAAACGTCACAGCTCATATGTGTAAATGAGCCATCTGTGAACCACAACAAGACAGCTATGAGAACTTGCAACATCAGCTTCTGTCTTACTGCGTGACCCTGATCCCACATGAAGCCCACTGAAGACACCTGTGTCCTCGATTGCACGGATAAAACAAAACGCTCCTTGATGATAGTGAACACCTGTCAGAGGTCCACCTCAGGCCAAATGTTTATGCCCTTTCATTTCCTCACGTGGCACAATATTCACCAATTTTACCTCGTCTTCTGATTAATTTAGCAATTTATCAGAAGACGCAATTTACTGATATATAAATGAAAAACTCAAAATTGAAATATGGATGTAGCAAGCTGCAACCCTGAGCGAAATAAACAAACATGAAGCCACCAGAGAGCCATGAGAGAGCATGAGGGAAGAAAAGGGTTCGTGTGTGAGAACGTACATATTTGTGTGCGGCGACACTGATGTAGCACAGCCCGCCTCAGGGATTCAACCTTTTGCAAGTGGCAAAGGCAGACATGATGAAGTCATGGTGACAGTGTGTAACCTGCGGTCAGACATCTTTTTAACACGCGTTTGGTTTTTTTCTACCGATCCCAAGGCCAGTTTATCAAATACACCAGCTTTGCAAACAGGAGGGGAACAGGAGGACTTCAATATTAAAACCATTTTCAGACAGAGGGTATATGAGATTAGCCTCAAACCTCTAAGTATTGTTATACAAAAGCAGCTGAAGGCTACTGTCATCATGTGCTCACAATGCTAACACCTGCTTATATTTAACAGGTGTAATGGGAGCCAAATTACCTCTTACATTAGTGTTAGCTTGCTAATATGAGCTAATCAGCTCTTAATTGTGTTTAATCCTTTGACAACAGGGGTGGTATGTTGAGAGTTCTGAGATTAAATTAACATCTAGTGCTTTACACACTAGATCTTACTAATTACTGGTGCGTCACCAAACCAGCTTGTAATACACTCTACAGTCTACAATCTCCCCAGATATACTTGTTCTCATTTTTATGCGCTGATCTCTGATGGTTGTAAGTCTAGATGTTGGGACAGTCTGATTTTTGCCTGAAATCGATCAGCAAATCTTTTGTTTTTGAAGTTTTTAACACCAGGTGGCACTAATATGCCTCACCATGAGACTTCACTACCTATATAAACACCAATGCTTCCCACAGTGGCATACAGTGCAAAAATAAACGAGGGGAAAAACTTTGTAGTCCCAACTTATCACAGTTTTCGAAATTTGTATATTATTTGTCTTCTGTTTTGTATTTGTAGAACATAATGTACACAGAAGAAACAGCGCCTCCTGCATCTACAGTATATGATGGTTTCAGGATTAGGTATCTGTTTAGGAATGTGTTAAAACAGTCAAATTTGTCTTTTTTTAAATGATTGGTTACATTATTTTAACTATTTTAACTCCAGCTAATTCATTTTTGATTTAAATAGTTTTACCAACAAATAAAATTGCATAACATTCTTTTTGTCACTGTCTAAGCTCTCCTTACAATTATTCACCAAACAGGATGCTTTACATTGGTTGAAGCAGAAATATTATCCTATTTATTCATTTTAAAATATGAAAAAAATAGTATTGTCCTCAAATTATCTTAGTTAAAACTGTC